TCCCTCAGCACCACCTGCCTCCTGAGTGTCTTCCAGACTGTTAAGCTTTCTTCCAATTATTGTGCAAGGTTGGAGATCAGAATGAGATCCCCAAAGTGCATTGGTTTCTGTTGCTTATTTGTCTGGATACTGCATCTCCTGTTAAACACAGTAGTACCTTTGAGTATGACTGGGTCACTAAACGGAAAAAATATAAGTTTGATGAGAAGAAGTTTTGGCTACTGCTCTGCCTCCATTTCTGATAAATTTATAGATGGACTACATTCATTCATATTCTCTTCCTTGGATGCAATAAGTTTGGGCCTCATGGCCTGGGCTAGTGGCTCCATGATCATTATCCTACATAGGCATAAACTGCGAGTCCAATACATCCACAGCAGCAGCCTCTCCAAGCCCCGACGTTCCCACGAAGCCAGAGCCACAGGCACCATCCTGATCCTGGTGAGCTCCTTTATTCTATTTTACTCAGTCTCCTCCATTTTTGCTGTCTGTTTTTCTTTGATGGATCCTGGCCAGTGGCTGGTGCTCATCTCTTTGCTTGTGACTTCATGTTTTCCAACGTTCAGTCCCTTTGTGCTTATCAGCAGTGACACCCGAGTCTACCACTTCTGCTTTTCCAGCTGGGAAAAAAACATAGTATCTTTTTCAATCTTCTCATGCATCTAAAGACTTCATTTCTCCCCAGGAAAGTCAATTACACTCTCCCCATTCCTGAGTGACTATTAAGTGCCAGGTACTCTGTTAGGAGTCTTGATACTCTGGGTTAAGAAATCCACGACCATTGCCCTCATTGATCTCATTTTCTACACATAAATTAGCTTGCATTAATAATTACATAAAGATTGTTGAGTGTAAATTTGTTGTGTTCTTTAGTGGAGATAATCAGGATTTTTTGAGGTTGAAGGGTGGCAGGATATGCCACCCCAAAATATGCCATTTTGACAGAAGTGTTCCAAACCCAGAGGGATTCCTTGTCCTCTGCACCAAATAAATAAACAGTCTCTAATTCCGAGGATTGCAGGAGTAAAGAACCACATTTGTCTAAGGGGCCCTTCAGGGAGACTGAGGCAGCTGAAGAACCATAAAGATCTAGAACTCCCCAAGAGCTTGAAATCACAGATACTTGCAGATTAATTTGGGAAAAGGTCCCAGGAATTGTGTGGGTGTCTCATTGGTCAGCGATGAAGTCAGTGTAATTGTTTCTGGCATCTTGAGAAAGTTTTCCAGGGCTCCTCTAAGTCTGAGGCTGTACTGCTTCAAAGTGGTCTTGTGAGAACCGTGCTCTGGAGCATTTCAGAACTGACTTCAGCGATGTTATCTCTAGTCATTATCGTAAGGAACAAACATGTTGGATCTTCATATTTTGTTTACCGTAAAAAAGAAACATGCCTTCAGTTAATTTTGGTTTTACCTTATTGTTAAGCAAGCCTTATCGGCCTTCCTAAGAATTCAGCTCAGGCTTAGTCAAGCAGTTTTTCCTCTGCTACTTCCTCCTTCTACCAGCAGAGGCCTATTCTGATTTGGGCCAGGGAAGAGCTAGCGGAATTTGGGGATCTGTCCCCAGATTTCATAAGGATTACTTTGAGCTAAAGGCACTTAAAAAATAGCGTTTGCATGAAGGGAATTCTAATCTTCCCCCTTTCTTCCTGAAAACAAAAGGAAAAGATTCCAATGTGAAATATGCTCTCCTTTTATTAGCAGAGAGAAATGTTGATGGGGAATCATAACCTAGAAAATTCTGTACAAAGAAACCTTGTTAAAATAACCCTTCTATTCTTTTAGCCTTTACACATAATTTAGTTACTCTCTCATAATTGCCTCTCTTGGTTCAAACCAGGACAAAAGCATGTGGACTTTGCCATTTCTTTGGGTCTTCATTTTCTCATGAGGGCTCCTGAGTTATGTAAAACTTACATTAAATTTGTATGCTTTTCTCCTGTTAGTGTATCCTGTGTCAATTTAATTCTTAGGCCTCTCCTGGGACCATTAGGAATTTGAGGGTCCAGTTTAAACTCCCCTACAAGATAATGCAATGAAAGAAAGTTACCAAGTATGAGGATATAGAAAAAGAAATCACCATGTTGTTGGCTGTCATGAAGATAAAGAGAAGTCCCTGCAGTGCACTTGACTTTCCCAGTGCCCAGCTTCTCTGCATGGGCAGCTTCCTCTATACTAGACCCCTGCTGGGCATGGCTGCTCCACTTTTGCCATGCCAGCAGCTAATCCAGCATCTATCTCATGGAGTTCATGGTAGTCAGTGAAACCTATTCTCCTGCAGCTTCCCATCAGTGCCCTCCGTAGGTGTAGGGACCCCATGGGCGCCTGAACAGGGACACACCCTAGCAATATGGCGCCCTTCCGGGTTCTTCTCCCTCGGTGCCAAAACCCAAGCCCACCTGCGCCAAACCTCAGCCAGTCACAGGTCAAGGCTCACCTCCTACCCAGCCCCGTCCAATCAGCTACCGCCCCGTCCACCCCCTATCCAACCCCGGAACACAGCTCCCTATAAATGTACACGCAGCTGAAGATAGATCTACCATACGACCCAGCTATCTCACTGCTGGGAATATATCCAAAGGAATGGAAATCATCAAGTCGAAGGTATACTTGTTTCCCAATGTTCATTGCAGCACTCTTCACAATAGCCAAGAGCTGGAATCAGCCCAAATGTCCATCATCGGATGAGTGGATACGGAAAATGTGGCATATCTACACAATGGAATACTACTCAGCTATAAAAACGAATGAAATACTGCCATTTGCAACAACATGGATGGACCTTGAAAGAATAATATTAAGTGAAACGAGTCAGGCAGAGAAAAAGAAATACCACATGTTCTCACTTATTGGTGGGAGCTAAAAAAATAAACAAATTAATTCACCCACAAACACACACAAAAAAAACCGGGGGGCAGGGGAGAAGATATAACAACTATACCTTTTTGAAATTGTTATAACAAGCAAACGGAAAGGACATTCTTGGGGGGGAGGGGAGAGAGGGAGGAGGGCGGGAGGTGTCGGTGATGGGTCATAAAAATCATATACATTGTATATTGACAAAATAAAAATTAAAAAAATAAAAAAATAAAAAAAAGAAACAAACAAAAAAATAAAATAAAATAAATAAATGTACACGCAGTCCTTGAATAAAGCAGAACTTCTCTGGTGAACTGTCAGCTCGGGTCCTGTCGCCTTATCAGCTCGGGTCCGTCCGCCCTTTCATTGGTGCCGAAACCCAGGAGGAGTTCACCCGGCGCCAGGGGACTCCTTCTTCGGAATTCCTCGGACCCCTCCACGACCCCCCCAGGACTGACAGTCCGCCCTAGTCCATTTTCTCTGGCTCTGGCTTCCTTCACCCATCAACGGCTCATCCGTTAGGTAAGCCCCCTTTTCCTTTTGTCAGGCTTGTAGATTATTTAAACCTTCACCCTAATCACATTCCCCCGGCCCTGGCATTGACATGTCCCCGGCCCCGGAGGCTGAACCTCCCATTCCTCCCTCTCTCTTTCTCTCACTCCTTTTAACCTTCCTCCTTCCTGGGTTCATCCTTGAACCCATCTAACCTTCCTCCTACCGGGTCCAGGACCCGCCGTAAAACCCTAACGCGTTAGGTCCCTCCGGCTCCTCCAGCATTTTGCCTAAGGGTAGTGAGGGTCTAGGTGACGACCTATACCCCCTTCCCTCCTGGGTTCCTGGAACCCATCTCCTGAGAACGGCACAACTCATTGGGGACGCCCTCTGAGCCCCATCCCTCTCATCTGGTCAGAGGGCTCATACTAATCCTCCTCCTTTTAAAACTTCTCTCTCTCTCTCTAATCCTCTTGGAATGGGAGCTTCCGCCTCCTCCCTCCAGGGTGATTCACCCTTACAATGTCTCTTAAACAACCTCACCACCCTATCTCTCAAGCCTGACATTAAAACTCCTCACTGAATTTTACACACAAAAATTGGCCTTATTACCCCTTAGATAACCAAAATAAGTGGCCCCTGGGGGCATACTTGATCCCGACATTCTCCAGGACCTTATTAACTCCTGCCAGTGCCTGAGAAAGTGGAAGGAGATTCCATATGTGGAGGCTTTCCACCTGCTTGCCCAAAATCTCTCTCTCTGTCTCACCTGTTCTCCTTTCCAGGTTCTTCTTGCTTCCAAACCCCCTCCATCCTCACTGCCTCCACAACCCCCTCCTCACAGGTCTCCTTTTCCTGTAACTCCCTCTGCTTCCCAACCCCCTCAGTTAACTCCGCTCCATCCGCCTCCTGCGCCGGCCGGCAGCTGGTAAACAGCCTTGGTCTGCGGGGCAACCGCCGTGGGGTGAAGGGCCCCCCTAGTCAGCCTGTTCTCCCTCCTGCCTCTTCCTCCCCTGTTTCTTCCAGCCCTGCTTTGCTGCCATTTCCTGTCCCCTGACCCCCACACGATCCACATTGGGATTACAACGTGCCACAGGAAATTCAGGCCAGAGACCACTTTAGTTCCTGCCTCCTGGCCAGTCTCAAAAGGGCTGCCCACAAAGTTGTTAATTTCCAAAGGGTCCAAAATGTTCTCAAAAAAAAAAAATCTAGAACAAGGCCTAATACTCCCCAAACTAAAATCTCCCCAGACTGAAATTTTATCAGTGGCCTTCAAGGTCTTTCATAATAGGGAGGAGGAAAAATACTTGGCTGACCTCCAAATGCTGGCCAAAGTAATTACTCAGCCTTCTAAGC